AAAAATCTATTTTTGGAGAATATGAAAACTCTTTACAATCTATATTTATCAAAAACTTAAACAATTTCATTTGAACACTTTTATATTGAAACTTATATTGTAATAAATATATATATTGAAAAATTATGCCATTTTAAAACTTTTTAAAATAAATAATTCTTACCTGAAGCCGGTGCATTAGTTGGCACAGGTTCTGATAGTGGCGGTGGATTAGTTAGCGCAGCTAAACAATGCAATTAGTTATAAGCAAACAATAAATTTATTTAGCATTGATTGAAATTTAAAAATGAAATTGTAAATAAATTTATTTAACATTTATTAAAAAGTTCAAAGAAAAGTTATTGAGTTCAATTTAATACAACTATGACATTTAAATTATGCAGGGTAGCCAGCCACTTTTAACGATCAAATCCCCTGATTCTTCTTTTTTGAATTTTCACACACACACAAACATATAAACCCAGAAAATATAGTTTATGTAAAATATCCAGAAAAATCTGAAACATATTTTCCCTTACTATTCTCCTAATTAAGCTTTCAGCTTTCAAATATTATATAATCTTGAATATACGAGAAAACATTTTGGATATCCGGAAAAACTATAATTTGAGAAAAATATCAGGAATTCTGGAACAAGAAATTCCCTGATATATATATATATATATATATATATATATATATATATATATATATATATATATATATATATATATATATATATATATAACATATATATCAGTATCAAAACATATATTACCATTATATTGACAAAAACCAAAAACCCTCAATAAAATTTTTTGAAAAATGATAAAGGTGACCTCCGTATTAAGAAGATTGTAGATAACTTTTTTTTATAATTTAAATAGGTTGAACATTATATACCTGCCTTATCTTCTAATTGCCCAACACGTTTTACTAAATAAGTTATAAAAAAAATACATATAAAACATAAATAATCAGTGCTGTAATCTATAATAAATTAAAGTATATATCTAAAATAATTTAAACATAACTGAAAATAAATCCCTACACATCTCTCTTTGCTGTTCCACTAAAAAAACAAATTGTAATAGTTACAAAAAGACAAAGGAAAAAATATATATATACTTTGACTTTTTGAGTTAAATTTACATAGTCGTTTAACATCTCAAACAAATATTGATTATAAATAAAAATTACTTAAAAAATAAACATACATATTTCTGTTTGTTGTGCAACTAAAGAAAAGACAAAATTACAACTTAAACAACAAGTCTCTATGTAGATAGTATTAGATTTATATTTTATACATGTCACTATTGTTTCTGTATTGCTTAACTAATTAAATCTTATAAGTTGTTAATAACTGCATATAAATATTGTCCAATAATAACTGCATATAAATTTTAATAAATATAGAAAGTTATTTCATTAACACCTTTTGATGGCTATGTCTGGTAACCAGAACTAATTTCCCCATAAGTTAATGGTAAGTAATGTTAATGCTTTTTAACTTTCTAATTAACCACATCTAACAAAATTAACCGCCAGTTTGGTGAACCTGTCTGTCCCTCAAACTTGTGACCGTATACCAGTGTGACTGGGGATCTTCAGCCCTGCAGACACCCAAGAAAAGTTTCTCTCCCGCTGGGTATTTTTAAGTGATAATCAAACCCCCAATATTTACAGCCCTTGTACTAAAAATGTGGTACTCAGCCCTAAATTATTCAATTAATTTAAATTGCATTTATTTTAAATAGTTTATTCACATATTTCGACTAAATTGATTTGGTCAATTTCAAAAAAGTGTTAGTCAATTTAGTGAATTTTGAAAATGTAGAAAACATAATAGTCGATTTAGTCAACAGTAAAACTTTTCAATAGTCGTAACAACACTACTTTTTATGATAAACCATACATCACAGACTGCCCACTTATTAGAATCTGAAAATTGGAACTAACTGTCTCCTTCATAATTTCATATTCCATCAGAACGCACAAGCGCTTCATATACATATAGAAATGAATGGACAATATTTATATGCAGATATTAAAAACTTATAAAAATTTATTTAATTGAGCAATACAAAAAAAAAGTGTAACATGTATAAAATATAAATTATCAAAACAAAAAAGCTCACCGATACTTTCCAACAATTTTTCTCTATCTACAAATAGATAAATAAAAATTTGATTATTACATCTAAAACTGTTTAATAATTCAACATAACAATAAAAAAAAGATTATAATTAAACATATTTTGTTCTACTTCTTAATAAATATTATATATATATATATATATATATATATATATATATATATATATATATATATATATATATATATATATATATATATATATATATATATATATAATATATTAGGCAAGCATAAAACTTTTAGTCAGTCCATCCTTCCTCCTACTGAAAATTAATGATACATAAACACACTTCTAAATTATAAAGTATTATCAACAATATCAATTATTATTAACTAATATATCTCTTTTGAATATATAAAATTAAAGTGTTATACTTTTTTTTGATTTTTTATTTTTAGAACGTCTGGGTTCTTCTTCTAAAAACAAATAGTATAATAATATAACGTAATATATACTTTAATTTGAAAAAAATAATTTATCTCTCTCTTTACATATACATGTTTTTTTTTTTAAATATACTTGATCTCCTGGATGATCTTGATCTGGATGATCTTGATCTAGAAGATCGATGTTGTTCTTCCTCTAAAAATGAATCAAAATTTGAATTTCTTGAAAAACCTATTCAAATGATTTTATATCATCTTTATCTTATCTTTCGTACTTGTAAAACTTAAGTTATTATTGTCTATTGCCTAATTAGTATTCCTATTGTTGTTTTTGCTCATGTTTTTGTGATTGCTATACTATCGATAGTTATTAGTTATACAATTCTTTTAATATATTATACAGGGTGGCCCAGAAGTCACTTTACATTTTAAAAATTAAATAACTTTTTTTCTATTAATATATTTCTTTTTCTCTTTTCAGAATTAAAAAATATAATCCTTGGAAATTTTTGGCATGGATAAGTTTACAACAGAACAACAAGTGAAGATAATTGAATTTTACTTTGAAAATGGACGGTCAATTGTTGCAACGCAAAGATCGTATATGCGCCATTTTAATGTTCGACATCCCCCTAGTAGGCCTGCAATAAGGAACTTAGTGACGCGTTTTCAAGAGCATGGCTCTGTAAGTGATAGGACTAGAAGTGGACGAGGTCGTTCAGTACGTACACGTGAAAATACTGAAGCTGTGAGCCGTAGCATTGAAGAGAACCCAACCACATCCACTCAAAGGCGTTCTCAAGAACTTGGCATCTCACGGAGTTCTCTGCAACGCATTCAAAGAGACTTGCACATGTACCCTTTTAAGGTTCAATTAGTGCAATCTTTAAAACCAGCAGACTTTCAGAAACGACTAAATTATGCTGTCAGGTTTCAGAGAACTGCAAGAAATGACAATGAGTTTATTCACAAGTTGATCATGGGAGATGAAGCTCATTTCCATTTGAATGGACATGTGAATAAGCAAAATACCAGATTCTGGGGCTCCGAAAATCCACGCCAAGTTCATGCGAGTCCATTGCACCCGGTTAAAGTCACAACATGGTGTGGAGTAACATCAGAAAGGGTTATTGGGCCATTCTTCTTTGAAGATGAAAATGAAAATGCTGTGACTGTAACTGCTGAGAAATATCGAGATATGCTAGTGAATTTTGTTCAACCTCAGTTAGTAAACATGGCAGGGTATTGGTGGCAACAAGATGGAGCAACTGCACATACTGCTAGAGCCACAATGCAGTTGTTAACTGCAATGTTTCAGGATCGGATAATCTCTCTTAATCCCGATTTTGAATGGCCTCCACGTTCTCCTGATTTGACAGCTCCGGACTTTTGGCTTTGGGGATATCTTAAAGACAAAGTGTATGCAAATAAGCCCCGAACTATTCAAGAAATTAAGGCAAACATACGACAGGAAATTCTTTCCCTACAACCTCAGATGTTAAGAAGTGTCATGGAGAATAGCTTAGAAAGAGCTCGACTTTGTGAAGACGAGAATGGAGGCTATTTAAGAGACATTATCTTTCGTGACTAAGTCAGAACTAACTTACACACTCTAAGCTTTGTAATAGAAAAGAATTAATTAAATACAGTCATTTAAGAAAAAGTTATTTAATTTTTAAAATGTAAAGTGACTTCTGGGCCACCCTGTATTAGATATACTATCATTTTTGTTATTATTAGTTATACTATACTATAGTTATATATTAGCAGTTATACTGTAGTTAGTTAGTTTATATTGCTATGCATATCTTACTATAGTTGTTATTGCTATACTCTATTATTATTTGTAATATAAAATAATTAATAATAATATTAGCGCTAATAAGAGCTTATTAGTAGTAACAATAACACAAAAATAATTAAAAAAAAAAATACTAATAAAACATGATACCTATAGCCTATAGGTGTCATTTTAGTTGTTTTATTAGTATTGCTTTTTTTTTTAATTATTTTTTGTGTTATTGTTACTACTATTAAGCTCTTATTAACGCTAATATTGTTATTAATTATTTCATAAACAAATAATAATATATATATATCTAAAATACTATATAATTATATAGTATTTTAGATATGTATATTATTATTTGTATGAAAATAACTAAAAGCAAAAGTCATGATAACTCACAGAGTTTTTATATAAAACTTCTGTGAGTTATTAACTTTTATGCTTTTACTTATTTTCATACAAACATATATGTCGAACAAGTTTGTTTATTCTAAGTTAGCATTAACATTTAAATTCAAATAATTGATTGATTGAAAAACAAAACAACAGCAGATTTAGAATTTCTTACCAGATGATGACATTTTATTAAATGTTGATTTGAAATGAATCGTTGAATGATAATTCTTAACAACAACAAACAATAAAAGCTTTATTTGTTTTATATATTATAAGTACATATTTTATTTGTTTTATATATTATAAGTACATAACAATATCTAATATTATGATAAACTATATATGTTTAATTATAACTTAATATATGTATTAATCTGTTTACATAAGTTTATAGAGAAATAATAAGCCTTACATTAAGCTTTGAGCTGGCGCACGAGGCTATTTTTATGTTTTAATATGGTTTTAAATTACACGGAAAATACGCATGCGTAAACATTTTCCAGGTCTGCGATTTGAGTTAGATCGGATTTGTACTTTTGAACGACAGGATATAGCACTAACCTATATATATATATATATATATAAATATATATATATATATTGTTATATAAATATAACAAAAAACTCAAGATGTCGTCTCATTTCCGATACAGTGTTAACACCTTTTTTTACTAGATCAGCAATTTTTACTATGATATTTTCAGAAATGGGCTGACTGATACCTGCATTCTGAAAAATGTAACAAAATCAACCTTATAGAAAACTTTAAGAAACAAAGCCACATAACTTTAAATTAAAATGAAAATTTTTACTTACATCACCTACTGCATGATTCTTATGAACAGAAATATCAGGCAATACTAGGATATACTTTCTGCACTTAAGTAAAATTTCAGGGTCAACTAAAGCTAAACGGAGTTTTTTTGATGTTTCCTTTCTTAACCGTACTGTATTTTTAGAAACCTGTAAAAATGAGAGATAAATTGCTATAACTAGAAGATAAATTTTTAGTTATTTTTAAAGCTATCTAATTGTAGGGTAATATATAAACATATTAAAAAAATAATTATATATATATATATATATATATATATATATATATATATATATATATATATATATATATATATATATATATATATATATATATATATATATATATATGTAACAGACACACCAATAAATATTAATAACAATAAAATACCTTAAACTCTGGAAATTCAATAATTTCTTTTATATAGACCATGGCAGGACAATCAAATTTTTTGGTATCCTGCAAAATGACTCTATTTTTTTGGCAATAATAATCCGTACTCTACACATTAAAATAAATATGCACAAGTTAATTAAAATCGCATATCTGTTGTTTATGAATTAAAAATAAATATGCTAAAGAATATGATAATAATAAATATTAAAGAAACAAAAAAAAATATACATATATAAAAATTATAATCTTTACACTATAGTTATTTATAATCATTATAACAGAAAAGAGATTTGAAATTGTGAGTAAAATAAAATAAGTTTACAAAATTTTAGTTAAACTTACAGCTTCAATATCTTTCTTTATCCTGTACTGAGCCTTTTTTTTAATATTTCTGTCTTTTCCATGCTGACAGTCGAGTGTTGCTCGTGTTGACACAATGAATGGTACTCCTGTGTAGGAAAAATCTTTGTCCTCATAAAACAACTTGTGTTCTTTCTTGAACAATTCTAAATAAATTACACTTATTAAAGTAATTTCTATGTTTTAGTAAAAAAAAAAAAAAACATAAAAAATTGAGTTAAACATACAGTTGCTACAGGTAGACTGAACTTTATCTACAGTTTATTTAATTAATTTGCTAACCTTCATAGTTCTTTTCCATGCTACCTGTACAAGTTACAACATAATGCACTGTGTGCAACATTTCGTGCTCTGCAATTTTCGCACAAACATCTGCATAAGTAGCAAAAACATGCTTGGTAACAGGTACTTTAGATTCAACTGATGCCATTTGTTCTAAAATATAAAAATTTGTAATCCTATAGGAATACTCTTGCATGATACAAGTTGTGTCATAAGAGTAGGTCACCATAATCACACAAGATAATAAAATATCTTACCCACTAAATGTTTTAAATCAAAATAGCAACTATCTTCAAGAATTAATACACAAATTTGAAATAAGAACTAAAGAAACATTTTTTAAACTGTTTATCAACCTTATCATAAAGAAAAGCAATACAATAAATAACATCATTAAAATACAAACATATTCTTTTGAACAACATTATGCCATTATTATACAAATTTTAAGAACACAAACATAAAGAAAGGCAATATAATGAATAGCACTGAATACTAGTATGTGTCTAATATTATTATTGTCATAATGTCGTTCAAAAGTACATTAAAAAAAAATGCAATTATTGTTAGCTTTTAATACAAGCATGTACTTTTGAACAACATTACGCCATTGTTATACAAATTTTAAGAACACAAACATAAAGAAAGACAATATAACGAATAGCACAGAATATTATTATATGTCTAATACTATTATTGTCATAATGTTGTTCAAAAGTACATTTAAAAAAAATGCAATTATTAATAGCATTTAATACAAGCATGTACTTTTGAACAACATTACGCCATTGTTATACAAATTTTAAGAACACAAACATAAAGAAAGACAATATAACGAATAGCACAGAATATTATTATATGTCTAATACTATTATTGTCATAATGTTGTTCAAAAGTACATTTTCAAAAAATGCAATTATTAATAGCATTTAATACAAGCATGTACTTTTGAACGACATTATGGCATTGTGATACAAATTTTAAGAACACAAACATAAAGAAAAGCAATATAATGAATAGCACTGAATACTAGTATGTGTCTAATATTATTATTGTCATAATGTCGTTCAAAAGTACATTTAAAAAAAATGCAATTATTGTTAGCTTTTAATACAAGCATGTACTTTTGAACAACATTACGCCATTGTTATACAAATTTTAAAAACACAAACATAAAAAAAGACAATATAATAAATAGCACCTAATATTATTATGTGTCTAATACTATTATTGTCATAATGTCGTTCAAAAGTACATTTATGTTTTAAATGCAATTATTAATAGCATTTAATACAAGCATGTACTTTTGAACAACATTATGTCATTCTTATACGAATTATAAGAACACAAACATAAAGAAATGCAACATAATGATTAGCACTGAATACTATTATATGTCTAATATTATTATTGTCATAATGTCGTTCAAAAGTAAATTTTTGTTTTAAATGCAATTATTAATAGCATTTAATACAAACATCTAAGGATGTACTTTTGAACGACATTATGCCATTGTTATACAAATTTTAAGAACACAAACATAAAGAAAGGCAATATAATGAATAGCACTGAATACTTTTATGTGTCTAATATTATTATTGTCATAATGTCGTTAAAAAGTACATTTTTGTTTTAAATGCAATTATTAATAGCATTTAATAAAAGCATGTTCTTTTGAACGACATTCTGTATATAAATATATTTTTCTATTTAAGAACATAAAATAAAGAAAGGCAATACAACGAACATTACAGCATTTAAAATAAAAATCTATTTTTGAACGACATTACCTGGCGCACGAGGCTATTTTTATGTTTTAATATGGTTTTAAATTACACGGAAAATACGCATGCGTAAACATTTTCCAGGTCTGCGATTTGAGTTAGATCGGATTTGTACTTTTGAACGACAGGATATAGCACTAACCGATGCAATCAGCCTCGATTGATGCAATCAGCCTCGATTGCCTTATTCCGTTTTAATGATTTAAACGCTGCTTCAAATTCGCTGTATGTTAGGTTTGAAAAATTTAAAGTTAAATTAGGTGATGTTATAAAATCAATAATTGATTTGTCATTAAAATAAGGAATTTTATTTGATAAGCTTATTTCGATTAAAGAAAAAAATTTATTAAATTCGAAAGCAATTTTATTAGGGTCATTAAATAATTTGTTTTTAATTTTTATTGCTTTAGGTAATATTGTCCTTTTTTTATTTTTTCCCGTGATCTCTTTCATTAGTTGCCAAATATTGCGGAGTTTTTCGAAATAATTTTTATAAACTAAGTAGTTATTTTTATAATTGAGAGATTTAAATTTTAGATATTTAATATACAGTTTTTGTTTCACTTTCGATGATTTTTTAAGTCCTTTAGTTATCCAAGGACATGATACGTCCTTGGCGTTAAAGATTATTTCATGAATAGGAAAGTTTTGAGATGAGAATAATATTTATATAAATTAGTAAATTTGATTTTTTTAAATACACGTTTCCGTTTTATATATCTGAATCTATATATTTCTATATCTATATCTATATTTCTATATATATATATATATATATATATATATATATATATATATATATATATATATATATATATATATATATATATATATATATATATATATATATATATATATATATATATATATATATATATATATATATATATATATATATATATATATATATATATATATATAAATATATATATATATATATATATATATATATATATATATATATATATATATATATATACATATATATATTTTAAGTTAATTTAGGTGCCCCAAGAAGTCCTAACGGTCTTATCACAGAGCACCGCGGAAAAGCATTTAATAGGAAGTTCACGCCTCCTTCCTAACCAATGTCGCAAAACTTGCCCAGAGGTGGAGCTTGAACCACGGGTCTTACGTTTCTGAGGCAAGTGCGCTATCACTGCGCCACGGCTGCATTAATATATATATATATATATATATATATATATATATATATATATATATATATATATATATATATATATATATATAAATTTTATTTGCATTTACTCCCAACAAGGCTTCAAGCAACCACTATTAAGTTGGGAGTTACTAGGAAAAAAAAGAACAGAGTTATAGAGCAAGGAAACGGTTGACAGAAGACTTGAAAAGTTGAAGGTTGTATGAGTCAGGAAAACATGAAGATGGGAGAGAGTTCCAAAGCATTGAAGTGCGGGGAAAAAAACTAGATGAATAAAAGTTTTTAGAGCATGCAGGGACAGATACTGTAAACGAATGAGACTTAGCTGAATGACGAGTAAAACGAGAATGAATTTTAGTTGATGGAACTAGAGATGATAACTCCTTTGAGCAATGACCATGATAGTATTTGTAGAAAAGAGAAAGAGATGCAACTTTACGACGATGGGAAAGAGGTTCAAGCTTAGCAGATAGTCCAGGTCCAACAATATTTACAATGCGTTTTTGGACCTTGTCAAGAAGAGAAAGTGAATCATTAGAAGAATCAGCCCAAATATGACAACAGTATTCCATACAGGGACGAATAAGAGATTTGTAGAGGTAGAGAATGGAATCAGAAGTAAGGAAATGGCGAGCACGATAAAGAGAAGCATCCTTAGCAGAAGCTAATTTAGCAATCGATTGTATATATGGTTTCCATGAAAGGTTTGTAGTAAACGATAATCCAAGAAGACGTAAAGAGGAGGACTCAGTAAGAGGATTGCCATTCATTAATATATGAATGTTGATCCAATCTATTACTGAAGTGAGATCGGATTCACGATCAGCTGCTTGTTCTAGGCGATCAAAAAGAAAAGACTTTTTGTCAAGACAGGAGTATAAAGTTGAGTCATCAGCAAAAAGAGCTACTTTAGATGAAAGGTTGTCAGGAAGATTGTTTATGTAGATAAGAAACAAAACAGGGCCCAGGATGGAACCTTGGGGAACCCCAGAAGTTACTGGAAATAAAGAAGAGTGTTGGCCTTCAAGGATGACTTTAATAAACTGGTTAGAAAGAAATGATTTGATAATCTCAAAAACTTTCCCAGAAACACCATATGAAGCAAGCTTATGGAGAAGACCAGCATGCCAAACTTTGTCAAAAGCTTTAGATATGTCGAGAGCAATAGCCCTAGCCTCACTGCCTCCATCTAATGCACGATAAAATCTTTCAGTTACAGCAGTTAGCAAGTCGGCCGTAGAGCGAGAGGATCGAAAACCGTATTGATTGTCTGACAGTAGTTTATTTGATTCAAGATGAGATGTGAGGAATTTGTTGATCAAAGACTCAAATACCTTGCTAATAACAGAAAAAAGACTGATCGGACGATAATTAGAGGGGTCAGAACTTTCTCCAGAGTTTTTGAATATTGGAACCACAGATGCCATTTTCCAACAAGCAGGAAAACAAGACTCTGTCAAACACTTGTTAAATAGTTTAGAGAGAATTGAAGAAAGTTCTGGAGAACAATTCTGCAAGACTGTGACAGGAATGTTGTCTGGACCACAAGCTAGAGACGAGTTTAATTGAGATATGACTTTAGCAACAGAAGCCGGAGTGATTTGAATGTCTAACAATGGGTCAACCTGTTTGACTGGAATGGAAGGAAGAGAATGTCCATGAGATTCAAGAGTGGAATTAGAAGAAAAGTTCTTTGCAAACAGTTCTGCCTTATCCTTGGGAGAGGTAATAAGATCAGTCCCATGAATGAGAGATGGAATGTTAGATCTACCCTTGTTAATAATGCTGTTGAATATTTTCCAAAAGTCTTTAGAGCCTAACTTTTGCCATAAGATGCGAGATTTAGTGAACTGAGAATAATGGAGTTTAGCATCAGAAAGCACCTTTTTACATCGATTTCTTGCAATAATAAATAGCCGTTTGTTCTCAAGAGAGTTGTTCTTTTGAAAAAGATGAAAAAAATGATTACGATTGCATATAGCAGCCGCACAAGAAGGAGAAAACCATAGAGTAAAATGAGGCTTGACTTGAAACCGACGCGAAGGAATAAAAGCTTCCATTCCAGCCTGAATCCAGGAGGGTAAGTAGGAGGTGCATTTGTCAGCTGAGAGAGAAAAAACATCAGTCCAAGGACCATCACGATGAAAATCGCGAAAGGAATCCAAATCAGCTTTAGAGTAGTAGTAGGTGGTGCGATGATAAGGTGAGCGCAAAAAAGAAGTACGAGAAGAAAGATTTATAGAGATCATTGCATGGTCAGAACCACCTAAGGGAGAAAAGGGAGAAACTGAACATAAGTTAGGGTCAGAGACAAGACATAAGTCAAGGAGTGAAGGTAAATGATTAGGGTTGTCAGGAAAACGAGTCACAAAGTCAACTATCTGAGTTAGAGATTGAGAAACGCAGAAGTTAAAGGCTTTAGTGCCAGCAGGATCAGTGGTGTTAGAGCCAAGCCATTTAGTGTGATAGGCATTAAAATCACCAACATCAACAATATTGGCAGAGGGGTAAAGAGAGAGGGCATGGTCAATTTGATCAGAGATAACATCTAAGAGAGTGCAATCATGGGAAGAAGGAGATCGATAAAAAACAAAGAGAAAGGTGATAGAGTGAAGAGGTGCTAGGCGAAAGCACATAAAAGAATGGTCAAAGGATTCGAACCTGATTTCACGACAAATAGAGGGATCAATGCGTATGTATACCCCTAAACCTAGCATGTGACTATTTGAGTCTTTACGAATCAAAGGATAGTACCCATCAACACTGACATCTGAAGAAGGAATTGCAGAATTTAAATTTGTTTCACTAAGTGCAAGCAAGTCTGGTGAATTTGCAGGAGGTAAGACTCAACTGATGGAAAGTTGCTTCGTAGACCGCGAATATTTGTAAAAGATATATTAAAATATTTAGGTGGTGGGAAAGGTTTTTTAGGTTTAAATTTTTGGTTACTTTACTCATTCATAGATAGAGCACAGCCTCCTAATCAATGAGCTATGCAGTTGTCTCAGTCCTGTTAATTAACCCTAAGCCGTGACATAGGGCTCCTTATGTGGCCTTGACAATGCACACCAAAAGCATTAACAGGAACACCACCCATGCGCAACATGGCACTGTTAATACTCTGATATTTTGCAGCTGTTGATGGAATCAGCCTCTCTGAGAGCTACCACAGAGTTCGGGAGACCTTACTACCAGCCGGCCTCAGAACCATTAAACTGAGTTTTAGAGCTGTACCCTCATATGGAGATAACAGGAAGAGTTGCGTAGCCATTATCAAGGAGGCATAAGCAAAATTCTATGAGTAGAGCCAAGGAGATCCAGCATTCATCATCCTAGGCAGGAAGCAATGTAACACAGGTTACATCTACGCCAGCCTAGTAGATGAAGAAGGGTTTCGAGGCTGGTTAGCAGAATTTTTCTGCTTACCCCTAAAGTCTTTGCCTTGGAGGCCTTCTACAAGACACTAGCTGGATGCAATTAACATCTGCCCAAGATGAGTATTTTTATTTAGACATCATCTCTAGCCTTTACTCAATTAAGAGCCCCAAGGCAGGGAATGTTTAGCTGGATGCAGTTAACATCTGCCCAAGATGAGTGTTTTTATTGAGACACCATCTCTAGCCTTAACTCAACCAAAAACCCCAAGGCAGGGGAATTTTTATTCGGAGTTTATTTCTCCTAGCCTTTGCCTAAGAAGAGCACACTCTGCAAGGCAGCAGGACTTGTAGCAGGTGGTACTGGGTTACGTGATACCAGTAGCAAGATTGATCTCGATTATCCTGACCTGACCTGGAGTAGTTAAAAGGAGTTACTTCCCGCAACAGTACTTTGAGAAAACCAGGCATGATATTTTGGAAGTGCATTAAAAAAAACACTGCATCTAACAAAATGCAGGAATCTAAGGTGAGTGTAGGTTTTGTAGTTGGAGTAAGTAGTTAGTTACTGAGCTCACGCTGCATTAGAGTATAAGCAGAACACAAACAAACATAAATCAACTTACGGGTGAGTCAACACCGCGCCAGAGGTTCAGACAGAACACAAACATACATAAAAAACATAAAGTAACTTACGGGTGAGCGAACACCGCTCTAGAGGTTTAGACAGAACACAAGCATACATAAAAAATCATAAAAAACATAAACATAAACATAAAGTAACTTACGGGTGAGCAAACACCGCGCCAGAGATTCAGACAGAACACAGACATACATAAAGAACATAAAGTAACTTACGGGTGAGCGAACACCGCGCCAGAGGTTCAGACAGAACACAAACATACATATAACGTAGATTACAGGTGAGCTAATACAGTAACTAAGGCACCTCCAACGATATGAAAAAAAAAAAAAAAAATTACTATAGGCATGACTGATATAAGATAGTACTGATGACAGGAAGAATACTCTTTCCAGCCTTTGCTTAGAAAGCAAATCCTGCAAGGCAGCAGAACATGGAACAGGACAGGTTGCATTGGGTTACATGTTACCAGTAGCAGGATGACCATGAAGACCATACTCCTGACCTGACTATACATATATATGACTATATATATATGACTATATATATATATATATATATATATATATATATATATATATATATATATATATATATTATATATATATATATATATGACTATATATATATATATGACTATATATATATATATGACTATATATATATATATATATATATATATATATATATATATATATATATATATATATATATATATATATATATATATATATATATATATATATATATATATATATATATATATATATGATTTACGATTTACGTCGTGATATATATACGCGACGTATATATATGTCGCGTTAATCGTAAATCGGGTTTTACGCGATACGCGATTTTATGAGATTACGCGATCAGGTAAAATACATCTTTTTATTAGTAAATCCGAGAGACAGCGTGTAACGTAAATACGAATGAAACATGGAGCGATGAACAAACCAAGCGCACTTCTTAAGAAAGATCGAACCAGGATCGTGTGCTTGATTTGAATTTTCGTTTTTAAGTTGAACCAAATAATTTTACAATTTTTTATTTCAATTTTTACACAAAAACTTGTATAATCACATTTGTATGTTAAATTATAAAGTAAAAAAGTAACAACCATATAGAATATGTGCTTTTAAACTAATTTATAAAGAATTAAGCAATCTATTTTTTAACAATTTTTAGCAAGCAATTATTCCTAACTATGAAAATAAATAAAAAATAGTAATTTTTAAAAAATTATGTTTTTTATTTTTATTTGTATAAAACAAATTATAGTTAATTCTAATAGTAATTTTATTTTTATATATAATTTCTTTATTTTAACTAGTTTAAATAAAATGGAGGATTACCCATTAGAAGTTGAATATTGTGGTATATGTGGTTTGCCTCCTGAGTATTGTGAATTTGGATCTGAGGCAGAAAAATGTAAAGATTGGTTGAAAGAAAATATACCAGATTTGTTTGATGACTTGAAAGCACGAATGGAAGGTCTGACTACTGGAGACAGTGAAGATAAAAAGAAAAGGCAAACAAGAGGTGGAAAAGCAAATAAATTAGTTAAAAAAAAAACTTGTGAAAAAAAAGTTATTTTAAAGCGTGAAACACGCAGTAAGAAAAAATGTGTCACTATCATAAGTGGGCTTGCAACATTTTCAATTGACCCCAAAAAAGCAGCTAAAGTGTTTGCCAACAAGTTTTCTTGTGGTTCATCTGTCACGGGAGAAGATGAAATTGTTATTCAAGGTGATGTTGCTGATGATCTTATTGATTTTCTTCAAGAGAAATGGCCAGAGATTGAAGAAGATAATATTGAAGATAATACTTGATTGATTTTTACATCTGTGAGCTTAAAATATACATAAATTAATTTACTATCTTTTTTATTAAAGAATATTGTTTGTTTTCCTTAACCCTGTTAATTTTTCATAAAATGACTTATTCACGTGTTTAAAGTTGCAATAAAAGTTTTATAATGTTTTTAAACAATTTTTTAAAAATAGTTTTCTATCAAAAAAAATGTAAAAGTGGTGAGATGCCTAATATTAATGTAAAAATTATTCTAGAATGGTGTTGAATCTCACGTTGTCTTACCATAAATAAAAAAATAAGTTAACTTGGAATATATGAAACTTGATTAAAGCAAAATTATTTTTTTATTTTATTATCCATCATTCCACTCTTGTGTGGTTTAAAAGGTTTTACATTATGCTGTTTTCTTATACATTACATAATAGAAGAATTACATATATAATGTTGACATGACATAGTTGAAGCAATTTTTATACAAATCTTTTTGATGCCCTTTTGGATGTTAACCTATTTTGAAGATCTGAGTATTTTTATTGTGATTTGCCACTAAGAAGATCTTATGTATGAGTTCCTTTTATCCACAATAAAAAAAACTCCTTTTACAACAGAATTTTCGATCAACTAGGTAAGTTATATTTATCACATCTAAGTAATGTCATCTGCTTCACACACACAAATGTGTATATATGTATATATATGTATATATATGTATATATATGTATATATGTATATATATATATATATATATATATATATATATATATATATATATATATATATATATATATATATATATATATATATATATATAGTACCTAATAATATTGTTATATCATTACTTTTTTCTCTTGTCAAAAAAAAAATTCATGTAAATTTTAAAATATTTTAAGGTTATTCTACAAACTTTTGTGACATTATTATCTTTAAAATTTTAATTTTTTACATGCAATTTTAAAACCTTGTATTAGCATATCTATTTTCTTAATTTTGATTCCTCCGTTAGTCCTACAGATTTCTGCCTGTATATACATAAATTCTGAACCAATTACTCAATTTTACCTGCATTTCATAAATACTTTTAATCTTTGTGCTACTGTTCCTGTATATAAGTGAAATGATAAAAAATTAATAAAAATATTTGAACTTAAAAACTTATATCCTCTTATAGGGTATGTGAAATTTTGAATTTGTGAAGTCTATTGACACAAGAATATTATAAAAAATATATATATACTTTGCTGAAAAAAGTGATAAAGTCGAAGCAACTTGTTTTTAAAAAAAAATTGTTTTCAAAAATTTTTCCAAGTCTTGTAAAAATGCTTGTAATGATTATTTTATATATTTACATTTGTAAAAAATAAAAAAAAATTGTTAGAACAATATATTAAACTACATTTTGCTTATGAGATAGTTATCTTTTATTCAGTTATTACATATTATAATTTTTTATATAACTATTTTGCTTGACCTTAAGGGAAAAAATAATATAGCAGTAAAGTTGTTTAAAAATATTGTAATTATATATTGCATTAGTAAAGTTTGAAGTTATTATAAAAGTAAATTTTAAATATATAACTAAATTAAAAAAAACAAACTATGTTGAGTGTAATTTGGTTCTAGTATTTAATTTTATGTCAATATTTTTAATATCAATCTTGAACTTGTCTGGGAATTTATGTTTTAGAACCACTGCAGATGATAGTAGGTTTAATTATCTTTAATATTTTTTTATGTTAAAGACTTTGCTGTGTAAAGTGTTTATTATTTATTGGATCATGTATTTCAATGAAGAAATTAAGAAATAGCACAAAAATAAAATTGACGTTTATTAATTTTTTTGGAAGATTTGTCATTTCATGGAACCCATGGAGCACTTTTCGGCTAACATTAAGCTTTACTTGATAAAAAACTGCAAACCAGTAAAAGATATATAGGAATTTAAAAAAAAAAATGTTAAGAAAATTGAAGAAAGTTATCAGATAATCAGTATAATAAATAATGACAAATCCTTAGTTATTTTTTTATTTGCTTTTATGATATAAATACATTTTTTCGTTCATGTAAAAGTTATTTTGATAATATACTTTTTTTATTGAAATTATTTTAATAAATTGTTTTAATGGAAATAAGTTAGAGTATGTTTTTTATATAGTAATTTTAATTTGTTTTATATTTAAGCAATTTTATTTGTTTATAATTGCAGCAATTGACATTAAATAAAATGGAGCAAGATGTAAAAACAATATGTGCTCCTCAGAAAAAATATTTTCGCCAACGTGCTCACTCAAATCCATTAGCAGATCATTCATTTTTATACCCTGTTTGCCCAGCTGCAATGAATTGGCATCCATTCTATCCAAACTATTTTACACCTGATGGAAATTCATGTAATAATTTAGAAAAAGTTGAGATTGTTGATATTGGTTGTGGATATGGTGGTATGTTAATAACTTTGTCACCTCTTTTTACAAAATCATTAATTCTTGGAATGGAAATTCGTGTCAAAGTTTCTGCTTTTGTTCATCAGAGAATATTAGCACTGAGAAATCAAGGAAACAAAAATGACTTTCAAAATATTGCTGTTATTCGTACAAATGCTATGAAATATATGACCAATTTTTTTAACAAAGGTCAGTTAAAGTGTCTTTTTTTCCTTTTTCCTGATCCGCATTTTAAGAAAAAAAAAAACAAATGGAGAATTATTAGTTCCACATTACTTTCTGAGTATGCTTATGTAATGGCTGAAGGAGGAATTGTCTACACAATGACTGATGTATTAGAATTACATGAATGGATGAAAACTCACTTTGTAGAACATCCTCTTTTTGAGCAGTTGACTCCGGAACAGTATTCTTGTGATCCAGTTGTTGAAAAACTCTATGAATCGACCGAAGAGGGTAAAAAGGTCACTAGAAACAATGGCAATAAATACTTAGCAATTTTTCGAAGGCTTCCAAATCCAATTTAATATATTTTAGCTTAAATCATTCTAATCAGCTAACTTGGTTTGTATAATTATTTACCTATTGATATTCAATATGTTTATAAACCTTATGAATGAAAAATATTTGATGTTTTCTTATTTTTTTAAAAAATTTTGAAATAAGAACAATTTATATTTTATATTTAAAGAAATATATTAATATTCATTTTCAAAAATAGAAGCATACAAGATTATTTTTAAGTGTTTTGTTGTTAGGTAGATTACATGTGTCTGTAATCTTTACTAGACTTGAAACCGTAGTTTACTTTTTTTTTTATTTAAAATTTGAGATTTAGATTTAGTACAAATAGTTTAACATCACAGTAAAAAATATAAAAAATGAGAAGTCCTAAAAAAATCCAGTAAAAAAATCCAACTCATTAAAATGTTTTGCTTATATGTAACTTTATAGTGATAAATCATTAAATAATAACTTTGTGACTCGTTGACTATTAGCAATAAAAGAAACTTTGAATGTTGAATTTAGTGTTACTTTTTTATTCTGTTTAAATTTAAAAAAATTTAATAGCATTTATTTAATAAATTTTATGTTTTTACATAATCAATTTATATTAGTTATTTTTTATCATTGTTTATTATTATTTTAGTGTCATTAATAGTGTTTTCTACATACATGTTTTATTGTTTTGAACAAATATAAAAAAATTTTTAATCATTGCTTTTAAAAAAAATTTTAAGTTGTGACATTAAAGTTAATTTGAATAGAAAAGTATACACAATTTTTTTTTTTTTTTCAATTCACAATTCAGATCTGATCTCAAATTTTCTATTGTTTGAATAATATCTAGATCTAAAGTTACTTGTTTGCCTAATTTTATTTATCTAACTTTCAGATGTTGTATAAAAGGAAGTCATATTTAGTAAAATCTAGCTTTTTCAGTACATCTTTTTTGAACATTCCTGTGTTCAAAAAAGTTTTTAAACATCCCTGTGTTCAAAAGGGTTTTTGAACACAAGAGTGAGTTTTTAAAAATAAACTGAAGCATAGCATACTGTACAAAGTTTTAACATAAAACTCATTATAGTTTTCTTTTTCTGTAAATTTTGTTTCTAATATATTTTAATAAAATATCTCTGAAAAAAAAAAAGACAAAAAGAGATCAAAAGTTTCTCTAATAAAATTTATATTTTGCTTTATTAATCTTCCGTTTTAAGTTCAGTGTATAGCAAGTTGCTTTATCTTTCAAGGCGCAAGTGAGTCAAAACATTGTTTTCATTGACAATTGTCCACTCTATTCTTTTATAGATTCTTGTTTTCATGTCTTTATTATAATGTATCCATTTTACAGAAATAGTATTCCTTTTCAAATATTAGCAATTTTTATATGCTTAAGTGCAATAGCCAAGTTGAAAATACTTTTCATAATTTGAATTAAGTCTGATTAATATCTTTTATATTCTAAATGTTATTTCTTCTACTACAAGTTGTACTTGGTGGGGTAATCTAAACGTTCTCGTAAACAAAATTTTTTTGTTTCTAATTTCTGTATATTATTTCATTAAATTGTCGTTATACATTACTTAATTATATAATTTAAATTCTTAATTACATATATTTTCATTATTTGAAGACTTCATAAAATAAGTAATAAAAGTATTGCTATCTGTAATAAACTTTTATGGTGTTATATGTTGAAAAATAAATAATTTATTTTAATGGACTACTTTTATAAAAATTAGGATTGACTGATTATTGTTATTAAAAATACCTTCTGAATCATACAAATATATACACTTAATAATGCTTTATAGTTAATAATAATTAATAATGCTTTATAGTTATTACTACTTTCACATGAACTTTTTTTCATATCCTTGTTTTTTGTGTTCACTAGAGAAATGTAGTTTATAAAAATGTCTCAATCTGAATCAGCTGTTATTTTTAAAAAAACTTCGGTTAAGCGAGGTAATACAAGAAAGCGTAAAGGAAGCAGTAGTGAAGAAGAAGCACCACAAAGTGCTGTAGTTCATGTTCCTCGAAAAGCAAAGAAGAATTCTTTGGTTCAAAGTTCAGGTTCAATACATTTTACACTGTATGTTAGTCTTTTTTTTCTTTTTCTTTCTATGTATTATTTTTTTAGTTTTGTTTCTTTTTTCCTGTTTTCATTATATGTTAAATATATATATATTTTTTTTCAATTCATATTGAATATTATGTTTTAAAGTTTTTAAAACTTGTTTAGCAATTGTTTAGCTTAAATCAAGCAAGAGCGCTAAACAAGTTTTAAAAACTTTAAAACATAATATTCTTGTATTTATTGTGTCACTTTTAATCTTTTTTTTAAGCATCTGTGTTGTCAACTTTATTGACATAACAGGTGTATTTCATTATTTGAATTTGCTATGCAAATCTGTTTTGTAATTAAAAAAGAAAAAAATTTAACTTAGGAACAAAGAAAAATTCTGAAGCACATAACAGCGATAGTGAAGAAGATATTAGTGTTTCATATAAATCCACTCGATCTGGTAAACGAGAAGGACCAGATGATATGGGTGCAACCGCAGTTGTTGAAATAGGTAAATATACCTTTTTTAAAACTTTAGTTTGTTTTGTTTTAAATTTTTTTTTTTTTTTGGTTTGTTTGAGACTAGCTAAAATGTTTAAAATTTATTCTGTTTAATAGATACTGCTTTAAATACAGACGCCCAGTCTATATTTGAAAGAGCTCTTGAAGTTAATAAGGAACTCAAAGGAAAAGCAGATGATAAAATATATCGTGGGCAGTCTGCATATACACAATACATAGAAAAAAAAGATACAGCAGCTGGAAATGCTTCAAGTGGAATGGTTAGGTCAGCTTTTTTGTTGTTTTTTTTTATTATTTTTCAGGTATTTTATAACCTTAAGTGTAAGTTGTAAACATGATGAAGCTAGCAATCAAATTAAAATAATTTGTTCTAATCCTTTTATTGGCAATTTAAATGCAAAATTGGAGCATCTTCTTTTTTCTATAGAAGCTTTTCTTAAAAAATTGTATTTTTTAGGAAAAACTTCCGTAGAATTAAAAAAGCTTCCATGCATTATAGGCATTTAATAAAAACTTAGAAGATGATTCAACTTAGATGTAATATAAACATTGGTAATCAACAGGGTTGGGGTCAAATAGATATTTTTATTTGGTAAAAATAGGCTAATTTGGCGTATTTTTATTCATATTGTATTTGATTAAAAAAAATTTAAATATTTGTATTTAATTGAAGTATATTTGCACCTCCATAAACTAGGTTAATCAGTGTTTTATTTTGAAATACAAAAAGGTTTTGTTTTTTTTTTTTCATTTTTAACACTTAAGTAATTTCAAAATTTATTATTCAGGGGTATTTATTAGAAGACTTATTTTCATTCTTCTATATAGTACAAGACAAGACTGTTAAAATAGTAGACTATTTTAACAGTCATGTCTTGATTAAAAAAAAAAAAATTTATCCTAAATTACAACAATTTGTATTTATATTTGAAAACTTAGTATTAGCATTTATTATGAGTAATAAATACTGTTATTATATAAGTAATAAATATTGTTATAAATATTTTAAATATTTTTACTTAGCTGGGGTCAGGGTTGGAACCTTGTTTTATTTTGACTATACAGTAGAATCCTGTTAACTCAGACTCTGAACGGGTATATATATTTTGTTTGACTTAGCGAATGTCTGAGTTAAGCAAAGCTTTTAGTAGGTATAGAGAATTCAAGGGGAATTGAAAATTTGTCCGACTTAGTAAAAGACTTATCCAGGGTACGAGTTAACAGGATTCTACTGTATTTATGATTATAGTTAAATATACATTAGTTTATTCAGGGATTAATGGTTGTTTTTTGTTAACTTGATTTTTTTGAGTCTCCTTGTATTAAATATTTATCCAAATATATTAAAGTTGTATATTCTTTTGAAGTTTGAACTTTGCTCTATTAAAGCTTATGTTTAGGAATTTTTTGTTGTTGTTTTTTTGTTATAGTTATAACATCTGATGAATGCTATTGTGTGAAACTTTTATGTTATGTTATTAACTTTATTTAATTAGTTATTAAGTTTTCACGAAGATTGTAAAGTTCTGCCTCATTTACATAATAAGTGGTAATATGGTTATATTATCTGATAATATATTCCATGTTATAAGTTTTATCATATAAAACTAATTTCAACTTTTTCAAGCCTCTTGATGTGTTTGTTACAAACAAACAATTTGATTCTAAAGAGAACATAAAAGATGTCTTAAAAGTTTCATCAAGTCCTGAAGGCCAGACCTTTATTAAAAGTTTCATCAAGTCCTGAAGGCCAGACCTTCATTGGCAGAAGTATATTAAATTGCAATGGAATCTGTTTTGATTAAATGAAAAATTTTAAATTTTATTATTTTAAAATTGTTTCCGAAAAACTTCCTTTATTTTCCTAGTGATCTAATATATAAATAAATAAAATATTATATTATAAATGAGAAAAAATATTGATAAATTAATATCGATTAATTGTAAAATTAATAAAAGAGAATTTAAACTTAATTAAAGTGAATTTCTTTTTAATCTTTTTTTTTTTCAATCAGAATTTCTATATAAAAAAAAGCTAAAATTTACCTGAATGTTCTCTGTTCAAGTTCACCGAAATTCTCTCCCGCCATAACTTATTTGCCAAAAACCATATCTTTTAATTTTCGAATTAAAGTCAGGAGTAAATTATACAAGTATATATATTTTTGCTAATTCGTAGCAAAATTAACTAATTAATTGACAAATTGGTGTTTATTTTTAAGCTATTTCTCTACCACTATACTTTATTTTGTTTATTGTTGTGATAATGTTTAGGCAAGGTCCTATACGTGCACCTGCTCATTTGCGTTCAACTATTCGTTGGGATTATCAACCAGATATTTGCAAAGATTACAAGGAAACAGGTTTTTGTGGATTTGGTGACAGTTGTAAATTTCTGCATGATCGTAGTGATTACAAGCATGGATGGCAATTGGAAAGAGATTTCAAAGAGGGTTTGTTTTTTTAAGATTTATTTCTGTCAAATATGTTTGTGTAATACCTTAATAATGACTACTGGCAAACTTCAGACTTTTTGTAAGTAAATATATAGTAATACAGAGGTTCCTATAGGCCCTATTATTCTGTTGTTGTTTTTTTAGATTTTTTTTATTTTTGGCCTTTTTTTTAGGCTTCAGGTAGTTTTAGGTTTCACCTGTATTTTTAAAATTATATGCAAGTTTTGTAGATTTTTGGGGGCAATCCAAATAAAGCTCAACAAATTTTTTTAAAGTGAATAAATGGACATCATTGTTTTGGCTCTTTTAGTAAAAAAAAAATTTGGTTTAGTCTGATCTTTTAGTAGGACATTTAGTTTTATCAAGATTGAGTACTTAGTATTTAAGTATTTTTTTGTTTTTTTTTTTATTTTTGTTTTTGAAATAATTTTAATAACTTAAAAAAAAACAATCAACAGACAAAAAATCAGTCTTGTTGCAAGAAACATAAATTTATTAATTTCTGAAAGTTTTCAAATTTTTATAGAATAGAATAGAATCTGCATAATAATCTATGATATATGTTATATTTTGTGATATATGTTATATTTTGTGATATATGTTATATTTTGATTTAGTTTGAATAGTTATTTTAGTGCTGATAGAAATCAGTACTTTCCATTCAATGTAACAATAATTAATTTGAGTTTTTTACTTCAACAGCAGTGAACCATTTGAATAAATCATTAATTACACAGTAAACGCATTTGTTATTCTGTGCAAAAAAAGTATAATTTGGAACAGTTTTTAGTTTTGTGGCTCACTCTGTTTATTTCATAGATGTTCAGATTTTTTGTGAATGAGTAAAATCAGGTTGTTGAGTTGAGAAGGTTTAAAAATTCAACAACTCTTAAAAAAACTCTTCAACTCTTCAATAACAAAAGGAGTATTAACATATACAGGAATTCTGGAAAATAATCAAAAATGATCGGTCCTTATATGAAAAAATAAGTAAATGGGATAAAAGTGATGGCAACAAAGTTGACACGATCAATCATATCATTCTGGGGAAATGTATTTTTACTGCCTAGCGAAAAGAAAAAAGATATCCACCTAGCAGAAACTTTTACAAATAAAACACAGTTCTCCAAATGCAACAATACAAAAGCCGAAAAGAGTTAAATTTGGTTAGCAAATTTTTGTAATGTTTCATATAGCTTCAAACATTTTCTCTCATTATTTTCTATATATAGTGTTCTCAATCACTGACAAAGTGATTTTATCAGTAATTGAGAAAAGTAAGTTTTTATGATTTTCTATACATTGAGGCTCACAATTCATTATCTAATACTCATCATAATTGCACAGCTAATATTTTATGTCCAGAATAAATTGATCAGTATTTACTGTTAAGAACTTGAAATACCTTTTGGTATTTCTTAATTTAGATTTAACATCCAATTAGAAAGGATAAGCAAAATTTTAAAAATAGTCTTAACATCCAAATGAGAAGAAACAACCAAAGATAATAAAGATTCAAAAGGAAACCTTAGATCTTGAATCACAGTATTTATCCTTGATTTTGAATCGCAACATTCATTCTTAATAATCTTACACAATTAAGCATACAAATTGTGAAATATCATGACAACTCATGTTGCTCGCCGTTTAAAACAAACTGGCTCAAAATCATCCCCCAGCATTTCATTCTGTTTTCAGCCATCTATAAACACTGTGAGAGTGGTTATGAAGCAATAGAACAATCTTGATACTTAAAAAATGTATCAAACCAATCAACAATTTCACTGAAACAACATTTTTTTGTTATAAGATATGCCTAAAAAAGGTTTAAAGTACAAGATTACGTTTGGTTTGCACAGAATTTGTGACTAGAGTAAGGGGTATCTTCACTTAAGAGAAAGTGAAGATACCAGTGAGAAGAGTTTTATTGAAAGAGTGGAAGCAGAGTTCATGCTGGCATTTGATAACATATTTGATTTATAAGTATTTGTGAAAATATTAATTGTTGAATAAAAAAATACAGCAATAATCCTTTTGAAATTATTTCTCTTTTCCTGTTTATAACTGCCTGTTATTTTATTATTATAAATATATATGTATATACATACAGTTCTTTATAGACAATAGTTGCAGAAAAAAATTTACTTGGGTGTAATAAGTGACCGGGGTTGATATTTGACCAGGGCCTGGGCCGGGTTTGATAAAATATAGCCGGGGCCAGTTTTGTAACCAGGGCTGCATAAATATCGTGCATTCTAAAGTATATTTTTTAATTCAAAATTTATGTTATATTTTGTATACATATACATATATCATCATTATGATAACATAATCATCATCGTTTCTATCAATCATCATTTCTATCATCATCATTCATACAGAATGTATGACCCTCTTTTCTAGTTTTCTTACTTCTACCGCTACCATTTTCTCCTGAAGCTGCTACCTCTCTACACGCTGATACCTAAATCAATTTAATCTTTTCTAACAAATGTTGTTTAATACAACCTTTTTTTCTAATCTGTCAGACTATGCCTCCTTTTCTTGTCTTGATCAAGTCATACCATACATTCATCTGATCATCTTCTCTTCTATAAATATTAAAGTTTATAAATATGAAAGGATGTTGTATACCAACATCTAAAAAAAATAGCTAGCATTAATTTTCATATCCGTAATATGGGTGCATAAAGCGCATCTTGGAGGCTTTTATTCCTTCTGGCATAAAGGTTTAGAAGCTTTATTTCTTCTCTTCAAATTTAAGTCAAATCTCATTCTACTCCACATTTTTCACCATCTTCAGCAGTTGCTTTAATTTTTAATTTTAATTTAAACATCTCTCTTAAGAACTAATGTCCTTTTATTATATCAAAAAGTCTCATTTTTAGGAAGCGATCGGGACTGGGGCCCAATCACTTTCTACTTGGGTGTTAATTTTGAATATGTCTGGGTGTTACCCAGATAACTTTATGAATTATTTTTAAATATTATAGCAGGGTGAGAATTTAGCCACTTTAAATAAAAAACGCAACATGTTTTTATCAGAAGAAAATAAAAAAGTTTTTAAACTTTTGTCTTTAAACTGCATTTTTCAAATAGTTTATTGTAAAACTGATGCAGCAATCAAATCTAAACTAATAAATCAAAGCATCAAAGGTATTGATGAGCCATATATTTCTTATTCTTGTGGAAAATAGTTCCATAGTTGAAAAAACTATTGCTCCATGTTAGTTAAATTATTATTAAATCTTTTAAAAGTTTTTCAAGATTTTGAACTCATTTCTTTCTTAAAAATTCTAAATTCAATCTAATCTATGGGTTTAGTTTCATGCTCTGAAAAACAAAACAAAGGCAGTAAGCTGTATAGTTTATAGTATATAATTGTTCATAATTATAGAGTATATAAATTATTTATAATTTTATTGATAACTTATACTTTACACCACATTATTTTTATCATCTTTTCCTAAAATATTAACTACCATTGTGCAAATTATTGGCTATTGTTTAAATTGATTTTTAAGTTATCAATGAGTATTTATAAAATCTTATATGAAAATTTACTTTCAAAGCAATTTTAACTCTAACATTAACACTGCAGAATTATAAAGTCTGATCATATGACTCTTGATATTGTTATATATCTTATGTAAGATTTAAATGGACATATTGTTTTATTTCCTCCTTTTCATACTCATTATTACATTAGCCTTGTTAGTAGAAATTTTGTGACCTTTAAGGACTTAGCAAGAAATAAAACTACACAAGTTTTAAAAAATAAATTTTAAAAGTGTTTAAAAAAAAGTCCACACACACTGGTTAAATATGTGAAGCAAAAAATTTTCATTTTTCTCTCTGTCTTTTTTTTAATGTAAGAATGTTATCTGTAACAATGGAATTGTTGACTCTCTTGTGACCACTTTTCGAATATGTCTGTGACTAACTGTCATTAACATATTCAAAAAGTGGGAATGAGTTGTTAACCCATCTCATCATGGCAGATATATTTAAATAACTGAATCAGTTGACTCCAGTGTCAGCAGTGTTGACTACAAAACAATTTGCAACATGTTTCGAACTTTTTATTAGGATTGTTCACTCACTATAAAAAACCTCTTTCAAGCTGACAAAGAACCAGCCACCATTTTATTTTAAAGGATCACATTAATAATGAAAATATATTATCAAATAGTTCTTATTTCCCTACAGATCTTTAATTAATAAAGCTTGACATAATAAAGTTCTTGATAGTAAAATGCAGTTAATGATAAGTTTGCAACATTGTGTAACGCAAAATAAAGTCAAATTGAAGAAAATTTAAAGAATAGTTTTTCTTTAATTCCTGACTTTTAATTTCTTTAAGAATAGAAAACAACTTTTTCCTTTTAATGATAAAATGTGAAATAAAGTTTTCCAGCACACTTCTTTTCTTTAACATACATTGGGTTACCCTAAGCAAATTTTATTTAAAATTTAAAACACTAGTGAGTTACTTTAAGCAGATTTTAATTTCAAAAATTTGGTATTTAAATTTTTGTCAATTTGTCAAACAGGTTCAGCAACTTCAGGTATGTGTAGTTCATTTCAAATAATTTTATAGAACCCAACAGCTGTGTGTTTAATAACCGTGAGACACCCTTATTTATTGTTAGTAATTGCAGTATTGATAGTATTTGTATTTGTTGGTTAATTACAAGTATTGTCCTTTTTTTCCAGGTACTTACGGACAAGAGGATGTGTCCAAGTATGCAATTGAAGACGAAGAAGACGCTCTACCGTTTGCTTGCTTCATTTGTCGTAATTCATTTAAAAATCCAGTAGTTACAAAATGCAAGCATTATTTTTGCGAACTTTGTGCTTTAGAGCACTACAAAAAAACGCGTAGATGTTATGTATGCGCAGAACAAACTTCTGGAGTTTTTAATTCTGCAAAAGATATTATAAAAAGAATGAAAGAAAATAGTGCGAATGAAAAAAGTAATGATGAAATTAATAACGAGGTCGATGAAAATAGTTATGAAAGAGATAATGAATGCTAATTGTACTCGTTGTTTTTACTTCGTTGAAGTTTCTTGTTTTTACATTGATACTTCTAATAGATTTCAGTCAACACTATTTTACAAATTATTAATTTTTTAACAATTAGTTTCTAAAAATATTTTTTTTAACTTTTATCTGTTCTACCTACACAGTTAGTCCTGATCAAGTTAAGGCTGATTAAATTCAGTGGTGTGTCTAGGGATGTCTGCTACGTCGTTGGGCGTACCCAAAAACATTAAAAAAAAGTTTTTCAACTTAATTTGTTGTTGAAAGAAGTCATACTATATGTAACTATTAAAACCAAACTACAGCTAAAACTAAACAAATTATGCATGGTTAATTATCTGAAACGGTTGGAAAAAATTAAAAACCGTATATCGATTTCATAATTTTGCAATTATTAAAAAAAATAATAATTACATTAATTTGATAGAGGTTAAACTAACTTTTGAGTTAAACAACTTAATTAGAAACTTGAATTGACATACCTTTTTTTATTTTTTTATATAGAAATTTATTTTTAAAATTTGTTCTTTCATTAGTTTAAAAAAAAAATCAAAATGAATATTTTAGTTATAACCAAGGTTTAAAAAAACGTAGTGGTGAGGCGTACGCTTTTTCCAAAAAATTTTAAAAAATAACACTAGTCGAGGTTTAAAAAAGCGTATGCCTCACCGCTGCGTTTTTTTAAACCTTGGTTATAACAAACTTTGAACTTTCCGTTTGACATACACCGTGAGTAGAATTTTTATCAATTTTTATTGTTTAAATACCACCAGGGGTCAATGTTATAAAACTTTTTATCGGTGTAAAATTGCTACCGGCGGAATTTTTACAGCCGTAAATTTAGAGACGTAAATTGTTTTTTCATTCAATGTTATAAAACTTTTACCGGCGTAAAATTTTGAAGATATCTATGCTCTGAATTTATTTTCGGAAATCTACTGTCCGAATCAATAACATAAAAGGTTAAAAACAAAATGTTTTTGAGCTGATAACATCAAAAGAGTTCGGAAATCTACTGTCCGAATCAATAACATAAAAGGTCAAAAACAAAATGTTTTTGAGCTGATAAAATCAAAGCTAACAAAAATTAACAGTTTCTTATTGATTTGGACTTAGACTGTTTCGATTCTGATGAAGAATATTTTGTTTGCTTTAGAATATTTGGAGAATCAGAGACAAACGCGAAAAGTAAAACTGTTCAAACAGTATTTAAACTGTTAAGAATACAATTTAAAAGAAAAAAAAAGGGATTGTCATTAATTTTTTACCCTACCCTATAACAAAATATGTATAGCTTTTCTATAAAAATAACTTTTTTTATACTATTTTTTATATAGAGGTTTCTTTAGACCAGAGTTGTTAGTCCTTGGTCTTGACCTTGCCTTAAGACTAAAAACTAAGGCCCTAGGCCTTGAAACTTTTGGCCTTGGTTTTGAAGATTTTGGCCTTGACCTTGATTGTTTAGGCCTTGGTCTTTATAAAAAAGTACATAAAATTAAAGAAATTTTTTTACGTAAAAAAAAGTTTTTTTTTTTTTTTAGTTAATTAATTAGGTAATTAATCATTCTTTATTTTGTAAAATTGTGTTGATATAAATATAGAAAATCTACACACATTTTATATTATACAATCTATACACAAAGAAACACATATTATACAATCTATACACATAAAAAATCTATACACACAGAAAAAAAATAGGAAAAATTGCATAAATAAACTTTTTTTTAAAAATGACTTTAAATATTAAATAATTAAAAGAATTATTCACTAACTCAAATTCTTATAACAAATAATTATTTAGACACAAATAATCATTTAAACATAAACTCTTTTGATGCTTTCTGTTTAGAATTTTATCCGCAATAAGTTTTGACGTGCTTCCATATCATAGACAGTATGAGAAACTTTGAAAACAAGTTGTACATAATGTCTAAACACTTTGTGAATAAGAAGAAAAATCTTTGATGAATTTTGTTATCTGACTTTATCAAAAATATTTGAGCTCATACAATATTTGAACATCAAAGGTAATTTCTAGAACTTTAATAATTCTGTTTATAGTTTGACCACTTGTTTTACTATTTCGAATTTCAAATAAACTCTGCATAAATTTTAAATGGAGAAATTTCTTTTGCCTGACCATTTTGAGTTTGTCTAATACTAAAGTTGATCTGATTTTTGGATCAATAAATAGTCCTAATAAATCTAGCATAAGTGCATTTTTCTAATTAGCTCAATAACAAACGTTCGAAACACTTTAAATTCCTTTTCAAGCACTTTAAATTCCTGATAGTTTTCTTTCAGGCTCCAATGTCTAAAAGATAATTTGTAAAACTAATCTAAAAAGTTAAATTTGTTTATTAATTCATGAAACACCTATCTAGTTTTATTTCTTAACAACATGTTTCTCCATCAGTAGGTTCATGAGGAAGGTTTATCAGTAGATTCAATAGTTGATCAGGCTTCCTGACAAACCTACTGATGGAGAAACAATCTCTCAAAGATAAAAATTAGAAAAGTGTTTTTACTAATTTATTATTGCTCAGGGGCCGTATTCTCATCTCTCCGTTAAGCTTAACGGAGCGTTAGCAAAAAATTTCTTTTTAACTACATTAATAAAAAAGTTCTTTAAAAATATTAATTTTTGAAAATAAATTTTATATATATATATATATATATATATATATATATATATATATATATATATATATATATATATATATATATAAAATTGCTTTTGCTTTATTGTTTTTCATTAACTTTCAAATTTTCAGTGATCAAAATAAATCAAAGCAAATATATTCTGAATAAAGTTGAAACATTAAGGTTATTTACAAATAGTAATAAGTAGTAATATGAAATAAACACCTTTATAATTCAATACTAATAAAATGATGCTAATATTATTAGCATCATTATATTATTATTGAAGTATTATTAATAATTATTATAATGCAAGTAGGAGTAAACAAAAATAATAGTTGTAATAAAAGTGATTAAAAGTAATAGTAAAGATTATAAAAAGTATACACTATACTATTTTAATAATAATAATATCAAAAATAACAGTAAAAATAACAACAATAATAATAATAACAATAAAAACAACAACAACAGTAGTATAACAAAAACAGTAATATTAAAAAAAAACTATGACAATATTAACAACAGTAAGAATCATAATATTTATAATGATAAAACTATTGTAATAATAATATTAACAATTATAGTGATGAAGAGAAAATACTTCAGTTTAAGAAAGATTAGAATAATAAATAAATGCTAATTTATACTTTATAACTTTAACTATTTTTTAGAAAAAAATTGCTTACAAATATTAAACTTTTCTTTAACTTATTATTTATAACCCTAACTCTGAGCTTCTATTTATCTAATTTTTTTTTTTTGCTTTTCTGTTGTGTTTTAATATTTTTTGTTAAATTTAATAAGTTTAATAAAAAATATTAAATCACAACAGAAAAGAAAAAAATTAGATAAATAGAAGCTCAGAACTAGGGTTGTAAATAATAAGTTGAATGAAAGTATAAAATTTATAAGCAATGTTTTTCTAAAAAGTAGTTAATGAGAACAGTTTTAAATTTTGAAAATGACTTTCATTTCTTACATGACAAATTCAGTAACAAAATATTAACAAAGAAATCGCTCGAAATTAAAATTTACCAAGAAATACTCAGGTTGTTTAAGGCCAGTCTCGGGTTTACTTCAATTATCTGCGAGTGACGTAATAATTTGTCGTTCAGGAAGATTTTAAAACGTTGTTTTACAATATAGCGGTGACTTCTAGACTTACAAAGCCCGACAAGAAAGTTTTTTCAGCAATTATTAGTTTTTCAAATATATATCATGAGTTCATAACATGCTATGAATTATCATATAATACAATGAATTCATAACAAACCATATTATTTATTGTTCAAATTTTAAATATTATTAGCCTACTTGACAAATTAATTCTGTTGTTACGACCCATCAAAAAGCCATTAAATACACAACGTTAAGTATTAACGAATTCCCGACATTTAAGAGTTTTTCGTTGTAAGAAATGACAAAACGTCGGATTTTCTGCCTGACCTTCTAGATAAAATTATGGATTAATGGTAGAATACAATATCAATGTCGTTTAGGTCGCATATAACTAGAAAAGTTGTTACTAACAATTTAATTGCTTATTTTATCATATACTTATCTTTTAGTTAAAGGACAATTTAAGTCAACCTCCATATTGTCGTCAATAATAATTTTTTTAACTTTGCACAACTTTTGCTAAGTATTCTTCAGTTAAGACAACAACTTTTCAAAAAAAAAATTATTTAAAAGAAATGTCTAGAAGGTAAGTCGAACTACCTTGAAAATTTAAACTGGCCTTAAACAACCTGAGTAAGCACTTAATTAAAACAAATGAATTTATATCAAGTTTTCAACTCAAGGCAAGTACTTTGAAAAGTTCTAAACCACAGGTTTCTACAACTAAATATTCATATCTTCGGATCTTCAACAAAAATTTCCGTAGGTTGCTCCTCCGGAACATTTATCGACAATAAACGTTTTGGGTGTAGAAATTTATCGACGGTAATTTTGAAAAAACTTTTAAGGTGTGTTTCCACTCATCCGTTTTTCTACGGGAAAGGGAACGGAAAAATAATCACGTGAGCATGCTCGGACAAATAAAAACTTTTATTACGCATGCTCACGTGATTATTTTTTCCTTTCCTATCCTGTTCCCGTTGAAAAACGGATGAGTGGAAACTCGTCTTTATAACATTGAAACAAATCATTTACGCCGATAAAATTTACAGCCGGTAGCATTTTACGCCGATAAAAAGTTTAATAACATTGACCCCAGGAGGTAAAATTAGTAACAACAAGTATATATCAATAGACACCCCCAGTTTAATTACACTAGACTGTATCATTTTAATAACTTGCATTTAAAATAATAAATAAGGAGAGAAAAGGTTTTAAATATGGAAAATAAATTTTAGACTTTCCTTTGTACAACCCAGACAGCAAGCTTACATTGGCCCAACGTTGGGCCAATGCATGATGATGCATTGGCCCAACGTTGAAAGTCAATGTTGGCCCAATGCAGGTTTGATCATTGGTTAGGTATTGGTCCCATGTTATATACAACGTTTACCCAACATTGGCCCAACGTTGTATATAACGTTAGGCCAACGTTGTATACAACATTGGCCCAACGTTGTATACAACATTGACCCAACGTTGTATACAACATTTTTTTTTTTTTTTTTTTTTTTTTTTTTTTACAACTTCAATATACACTTCATTACGTTACAATTCTATCATATAATTTAATGCAAAGAGTAAAATATATAACATAACATAAGAATACGTAATTTAACAATTATAATAAAATATAACGTTAGATTAATAAATACTGTTTTTTTTTTTAAATAAAAACTATTGTTTCTTCAAATATAAACATGTTGTTGTAAAGGAGACTCGCAGAAGACTATGAAGTCTTATCATCAAGTACCTTTTCAAATGGTTAAATAAATTTAATTAATTTTTATATAAAGTTAAAAGTGGTTAAACAATACACAGTCAGTGATACACATAAACATTTTTGTATAAATCTTGTTGTTAAGTTTAATACATGTCAATAAAATTTTTGATATTAAGTATGAGGTGTTTTAATTTTTTTTTCAAGGTGGCAGAATTATTTAATGCTTTAAGTTCTATATTTTCGGATATTATTTTGTTATATAGGTACGGACCCCGGTAGGAAATAGAGAATCGTGAGAACTTTGTTGTTTTTTTTGGTAATGTGAAGTTCCCTGTTGCTCTTGTGGTATATCTATTAGAGTTAATTTGAAAAAAGTTATCTAAAAAATGCGATGGGACTAGTCCAAGATTGTATTTAAGCATGAAAAGAATATTTTGATAGATGTTGATTTGGTAAACATTCAGTGCATTTAGGGTTTTTAGTAAAGGTTCAGCATGGGTGAGTTTATATTTATTATAAACTAATCTTGATGCATGTTTTTGACTTAAATAAAGTGTATTTAACTTGGATTTGTGTGTACTTGCCCATGCAATATTAGCGTACGTAAGATAACTTTGGATGTAAGAAAAATAAAGAGATTTAAGATTATCTTGGGACAACATAGGTTTAACTTTGTAAAGTATCCCAATATTTTTTGAAATTTTGGTGTTTATTGTACTAATATGGGCTCTCCAAGTTATATTTTCGTCAATAAGTATCCCAAGAAATTTTGTTGTTTCTGTTCTTTTAATGTTTACCTTATCTATTTTTAGTGGGGGAAGTATAGTTGGTATATTATTTTTTTGTTTTTTGGAATGAAACAATATATATTTTGTTTTTTCTGTATTTAGTGATAACTTATTTAATTTCAACCAGATGTTTAATTTTTCAAGCTCTTTGTTCATACATTCATAAAGGTTTTTGATTGAGTTCGAGGAATAAAATAAATTTGTGTCGTCGGCAAACATTATAACATCAAGTTTTTTTGAGGTTTAGTGCAACGTTAAGCTCTTGATAGGTTAGTTCTTTGTATTTTAGTTCGCTCTGGGGATCATTTAGATGTGATTCAAACGAGTTATTAGGATATTTAATTTTTGAGGCAAGATTAGGGCCAATGTTAACAAAAAATTCATTGAATTTTTCAGCAATTTTATTTTTGTCACTGTACTCTATATTGTCTATGATAATTCGAGCAGGCAAATTATTTGATTTAGTTTTTTTGTTCCCAATTATTTCTTTTATAATGTTCCATGTTTTTTTAATGTCACCAGTTGCATTTTTTAATTAGCTTCGAGTAGAACATATATTTGCATAAATTTGTATAGTATTTATGTTAATATATATTATATATATATAATATATATGTATATATATATATATATATATATATATATATATATATATATATATATATATATATATATATATATATATATATTATATATATATATAATATATATTTATAAAATATATATATATATATAATACATTATAAAATATATATAATATTATATATATTATATATAATATTATATATATTTTATAATGTAAAAAGTTTTTAAGCTAAAAGCAGATTAAAATATTTGTGTCTGTTTATAGTTAAGGTAGTTTTTTTTCAATTAAATGACACTTTGCTTAAATTACATTTTTAAATTACAATTAAAGTACATCAAACTGGTCCAACAATGATAAAAGATTTTCCATGCAATTAAGGATAGTAGTCTACACCATGTTATTGTCAAATGTCCCAACCAGTAATATTCAATTTCTAGTGGATAAAATTGCACAATATTTTGGAATTAATTTTTCTTACATTCCTCATCGTAGTACCGTTGAGCAAATGGCTCGTGAGCTTGGCAGTATCACTGATTTGCAAGTAGCAGAATGGGCCATCAATAATAATCATCTCACTCTTGGATTTGATGCAACAACGCAAGAAGGTGTTCATATAAACAGCATTCATTTAACTTCAAAAAATCAATGCCAGGTTGTTTCTATTGATCAATTACCAGGCGGGAAAGCAGTGGATTATGCAAATCATATATGTAATGTAGTGGATTATACTGCCTTAGTTTATTCAAACTTTCACTTCAACCCTTTGATGATTGAAGACGCCTAATAATCTCAAATATATCAAACACCATGTCTGATAGAGTTTCGGTTAACCATCTTACAATCCGAAAAATTGGTGAGGTCTGGGGTAAAAGTCTAAATGAGTTAAACTGCCACTTACACCCTCTTGACACAATTGCTATTTCATGTCGAACAGCATTAAAGTCTTTGGAAATTGGAAATTGCCAATTATTTGAAAATGATTGTGTTGCTGTTAAAATTGTTTTGGCTATGAATAAGATGAGGTTTAAAGATGCAAGCGGCGATCCAAAAGGATTTGTCAATTTTTTAAACAATAACAAATTACCAAGAGGTATTATTCGAAGGTACCGTGGAAACCGTCTACATATTCTGTTCCACACTTGTTTTGTTTTTATAAAACACCACAGTCAATTTATGCAATTTCTGACAATTGGAACAGTAAAAAGGAGTAAAGTACAGCAAGTAGTGGAACTTGCAACATAAATGTACAGCAAGTAGTGGAACTTGCAAAATATATGTACAGCAACTAGTGGAACTTGCAACATAAATGTACAGAATTTTCCAGGCAGTGAAACTTGCAAAATTAATGTGCAGCAAGTAGTGGAACTTGCAATTTTTTTGATAGACAGTTTTTGGCTTATGTTCACGTCGTGTCCATTGTTAACAATGATTATTATACAGTTTCAATACTGGAAACTTATCTTAATCATTAACTAAAAGCCAAAACACATAATTGTTGTTTGGAATTATATATAAATGTATAAAAAATTATTTAGGTCGGAGGGGGGATTTGACATTTTCCTCAGCAAATATGAAGACTGATGCATCTTGTAATACTACTACTCAAATAAGATAAAAATAATTTTATATTAAAATAAAACATATAAAATAATATCAGTTTTTATTTTAGAAAAAGTAATTTTAAATTATTTTTAATTTGTATAGGTCAGAGGGGGTAACCGCTACTCCCTTCTTCAAAAATAAATACTTTGATGCATCTTGTTTTAGTACTACTGTATTATGGTAAAAATAATGTTATATTAAAATAAAATATGTAAAATAATAGCAGTTTTTGTTTTAGAAAATGTCATTTTATTTTTTTTAAATATTTTAGGTTAGAGGGGGTAACTCCCACCCTCTCTGCAAAAATGAGTACTCTGATGCATCTTTTAATACTACTACTGTAATATGGTAAAAATAATTTTATATTAAAATAAAACATTAAAAATAATAGCAATTTTTATTTTTGGAAACCTCATTTAAAATTTTTTTTTTTAGGTCAGAGGGGGCGGGATACGCCCTTTTCTCGTGTCTTTGTGTACATCATTACTTATAGTTTTAAAGATGTAAAAAAAAAATTATTCATTTTATAAACTTGATCTATTAGATGTATATTTTGAAATAAAGATAAAAATGATTATGAGAATGATTGTTTTTTTAAATTAGGGTGTGTTGAATTTTAACACCCAAGGTCCACCTCATATTTTTAATAAACCTCTAATATTTGGCAGTGAAATTGTAACAACTTTTTGCATATGGAATAGACCGGTTTCCTGAAGAAACACTTTTTTATTAAGAAAAATCTCTTTTTATTGACTGCAAAGACGGCGTATCTATGCGCCCGCTGCCGCCCACGGTATGCCAAATTGCTCAAGGTTATTATAATTTTGTAGGTTATTCTTGCACCTATTTTTTGATACCAAGATATAAGGATTTTGATGAGAATTGACTAAGTTATGATAGTTTTAGTAAAAAAAAAAATTTTTTTGCTTCAGTTTTATCAAGAAATCCATATATCGGTAATTCGTCACTTAATCAAGTATAACTTCTTATGGAATTGTCTGATTTTTATAATTTTTTCACTTTTGAAAAATTGAATTAAAGGCCTTTCTAATGATATATAACAATCTACTATTTAAATAATTTAAAATTTTCATGTCACGTAGGGTAAACTGGGGTAAAGTGAACTAGGGGTAAAGTGAACTATTTTTTTAAACTAAAAAGTTATCATGTTTAAAAAACTTTTTGTTAAGTAATTTAGCATTATTTTTGCTTAATACAACATTTTGAAATTTTTTAAATAAAAAAATTAATAAAATATAGCCTTTGTTTTGATGTAATAGCCATTTTAAAAAGCGAGTTTGGCGGAAGTTTTAAAATTACGATCTCAAACTTTGCTATGGGTTTTAGTAAATTCATGATTTGTTGTTATTAATGCGAACATCAGTTATATAATTTATATACATTTTAAAGATAATATAATGCTGTTAAAAAAAAATTGTAGTTTTTATCATAATATAAAAAAGCTAAGCTTTTAGTTTGTAAATCAATTTAGTTCACTTTACCCCTTATTTTTCTGCCTATTGGGGGTAAAGTGAACTAGTCTTTTTCTTATGTTTTTTCATCAAATATTTTTAGTAGAACTGAATATATAAATTGTAATTACTTAACTAAATTGTTTACTCTTAAAATAAGTTGTTTTTTTTTTAAATATTCTTAAAATTATTTTCAGAAATATAATATATTGAAATAATGCCAAGAAACTACATTAAGAAAAAAGAATCTCGAAGAAAAACATATGCACCTAATTTGTTGCAAAATGCCATTTCGAAAGTTAAAAATAAAGAAATGACTTCGTATGCTGCATCAAAAGAATATGGTGTTCCAAGAAGTACAATTGCAAGACATCTTCTAGGCATAAAATGCTCAAAAGTTGGTGAAGGGCGACCAAACCGATTATCTGCTGATGCTGAAAAAGATCTTGTTTCACTTTTATCTGCATTTTCTGATTTTGGATTTGGATTAGATAAAAAACAATTTATGAAACTTGTTCAAACGTATATTGAATTAAACGGATTTCAGAAAAAATTTGTTAATGGTGTTGCTGGTGATCAGTGGTTTTGTAATTTTTTAAATCGTTGGCAGAAAGAAATATCTATAAGAATTCCAGAGCTTTTGACATTAACAAGAGCCTTAGCTTGTAATAAAACTGTAATTGATGCTTGGTTTTTATTACTTAAAGCAACATTGGAAAAATGTGACATTATGAATAGACCTGCCCAAATACTAAACTGCGATGAAAGTGGGTTTTGCACTAACCCAATAAATAAAAAAATTATTTGCAAAAGAGGTATTAAAAACCCTGTATCTATTGCTCCTGGATCAGGAAAAGAACAGTTTACTGTACTAGCAACAATATCAGCTGCAGGAAGAAATTTTCCTCCATTTATTTTATTTGCTGGGAAGAATTTGTATAAAGAGTGGATGACTGGTGGACCAAATGGTTCCTTATATGGGGTGACAAAAAACGGTTGGATGGAAACAGAAGTTTTCACTGAATACTTTAACCATCTTGTTTTATGGTTGAAAGACACACCCAAGCCTGTTTTGCTTATCTTTGATGGTCACATTAGTCATATTTCTTTAGAAACTGTTAAAAAAGCAGTTGAAAATCATATAACTATTTTGTGTTTGCCAGCACACTGTTCGCATTTGCTTCAGCCACTTGATGTAGGAGTCTTTCGCCAAGTTAAACATGTATGGCGTGAAATTCTGGCCAATTGGTATACCGAGTCAAGGCTGAAGGTGGTTGGGAAATCTGTTTTTCCATCTTTATTAAAAAAACTTTATGATACCTCCTTTAAGCCAGCTCATTTAGTACAATCCTTTGCCAAAACTGGAATTTTTCCCTTTGATCCATCTGCTATAGCATCTGACAAGTTAAATCCTTCTGAAATCTATGAACACCCTTTTTCTCAGAAAACAAATAACTATAATAATAACGTCCCTCAAAACATCGTTTTAGACACCAATGTCAATGATCAGAACGATACTTGTGAAAATTTTTCTATTGAATCAACAAATAAATACAATTCACAAAAAGCTATAATATCAGTAGGAAAAGACTTAAACAATGAAAAAATAAATCAACTATCAATATCAAATGTAGATTGTTCTACTGGAAATAAAATCATTAGAGAAATAGTGAAAGAACAGTTAATGGCCACAAAGGGTGATGGTCGTTCATACAACAAACGACCTACAAAAAAAATAAAAAGACACTATGGAGGTGAGTGTCTTACATCAGAAGATGCATTTAAAAGATTAAATGATGAAGAAAACGAATGCTTTAAAAGAAAGATCAAGCAGCAAGGCAAAATACAAAATAAAAAAACTAATTTATTAGAAATAACAAACACAAAAGAGTTAAAGATGAAGTAGTTCACTTTACCCCAATGTGGGGGTAAAGTGAACTAGTGGACATGTTTTTTTTGAATATATATTTAATATTGTAAAAGTAGCTTTTAATCTTAGTATTTTGTTTTATATTGTACCTAATACTTTAAATGGTATAAATTTTGAAAACTGCAAAATGTTTTGGCTTTTATTTTGAAAATATTTCCTTTAAATATCAAAAACAGTTCACTTTACCCCAGTTTACCCTACCTACCTTTAATAATATATTTTATAATAGCTATGCAATCTAAACTATTATAAACAAATTATAAAAAAAAAAACTTATACTGTGTGACATTTCAAATTTTTGATTTACATAATAAAGAAGACATTTAAAATGTCTTCTTTGTTAAATAAATCGAACATTTGAAATGTTTTATTTATTTATTAAAGATTATTAAATAAATCAAACATTTGAAATGCCAATACAGCAATAAAAATAAAAAAATAACTTTAAGATCTTACAAAAAAATAATTTGATTATTGCCTTTATTGTTACATTAATAATTTAGATTGTAGTAAAAATGTTTTAAGCATTACGTTTAAATGTTAACAAATATTTCATTATTTAAAAAAAGAAAACATTAAGTCACGAGAATTTCTTGAAATTTATTTCTTATAAGGAAACTTTTAAGATTCTTGGAAGATTAATAAATATACCTTGTTTTTTTTATCTTTATAATTTAAAAAAATGGAAAGATAATATCAAAACTTTTTTTTATTCTGTCAAACGATGCCATTTTTAAAAATGTTTTGCAACAAATTTTAAAGTATAAACTAATCCGCAACTACATTGGCCGAATATTGGCTACGGTATAAATGTAAGAACAGCAAAATATTAAGCCCAAACTACATTGGCCAAATGTTGGCCCAACGTAGTACGATAATTGCAAAAAACCGATTTTGTAGAATTGCAATATTACGCCGAAAAAAAAGCATTGGTTAAATGTTGGCCCAATATAGTACGATATCTGCAAAAAACCGATTTGCAGAATTGAAAATAATACGCCGAAAAAAAACATTGGCTAAATGTTGGCCCAACGGAATAAACTTGCCAATGTTAAAACTTACGTTGGGCCAATGTAAGCTTGCTGTCTGGGAATGCTTAATTTGTGTTTTATTAAATTTTATTGAACATATAAAGGTCGTTAAAGTTCAAAATGTCGCTTAATTCACAATAGCATTTTAAAAAGTTAGTATGTTAAAGAAAAACATCATTTCCTTTAAAGTTAGCCGACCAAATTTATATTTATTGTGTAGAATTTTTAATATCACGATATCCTTAGTATACAAGAAACGAAAATAGAGTTATTACGAGCAGAAACTGTGCGGCCGTGGCGCAGTGGTTAAAGCGCTTGCTTTATAAGCAGGAGATCCAGGCTCGAAAAGAGCTTTGGACATATTTTGCGTCACGGTAAAGAAGGAGGCGTAATTTTTCTGGTTAAATGCACTTCCGCGGTGCTCTGTGACAAGACCGTTAGGACTTCTTGGGGCACCTAAATAACAAATTAAAAAAAAAAAGAAAAAAAAAAGCTGTTTATAATTGCATCGATAAAAACTAGTGTTATTTGATTTTCTTTGATAATCAAGAATTTTTGGCAAAAAAGTTAGAATGTTAATTTCCAGATTTTAGACTTATTAAGTATAAGTTTTAATTAGCCATTATTTATTTTAAATTTTAATTAGCCATATAGTTTATCCTTTATGAGAATCATTATAATCGTAATAGGAACTATGATGAACCACATAAAGGAAAAACTTTTTTGTTTAGTATATTAATAAAAGCTATTACTTATTTTTCTATCGATGTTATGAAATGTAAAATTGTGGCATGGATACTTTACAAAAGTTTTTTATTTCTGTGGTTTTCTGTCATAAAGAATGTCATAAAATATCAATAGAACATTTATTAGTGCAACCTCTGCTACTGCTTCTTCTACTGAAGTTAATATCAAATTTTGGTTTTATTGTTGCATTGTGTATAACAAGACATGTTTTAATAACTTTTTTAATTACACGATTGTGCAAGCAAGTAATAATGATATTTTTTATAGTTTGAATCTTATTCAAACATTAAAAGATTTTGTCTCTATACTTTAAAATAGAGGGGGA